AAAGAAGGGTCAACAAGACAAAAAGTCCCTGTCTCTGCCCTCATGGAACCTATATTCTAACTGGTGCTTTCTTCTCCTTTAAAAAACTTTTTTACTGTGGAAAAAAAAATTAAAGTAATAAAAAGTACAATAGTACAATGAGACATCCATCACCCAGATTACTAAGCTTTTACCATACCTGCTTTATTGATTTTATTTTTTTCTTGCTGACATCATGTCATTTTACCCTTATATACATAAGCATACATCTCTAAAAAAAAGACATTTTCTTGGGACTTCCCTGGTGGCGCAGTGGTTAAGAATCCGCCTGCCACTGCAGGGGACACGGGTTTGAGCCCTGGTCCGGGAAGATCCCACATACTGCTGAGCAACTAAGCCCTTGTACCACAACTACTGAGTCTGCGCTCTAGAGCCCGTGAGCCATAACTACTGAGCCCGTGTGCCTAGAGCCCATGCTTCACAACAAGAGAAGCCACTGCAGTGAGAAGCCTGCGTACCACAATGAAGAGTAGCACCCACTCGCCACAACTAGAGAAAAAAGCCCGTGAGCAGCAACGAAGACCCAACGCAGCCAAAGAAAAAAAAAAAAGACATTTGCTTTAGTTTCTACTGTCCAGCAAAATGAATCAGCTATACATATACATATATCCCCTCTTTTTTGGATTTCCTTCCCATCTAGGTCACCACAGTGCATTAAGCAGTTTCCTGTGTTATACAGTATGCCACATAAGGCTCTTTACATTTAAATTAAATTACATAAAAATTTTACAATTAAGTTCTTCATTCACATTAACTACTTTCAAGTGCTCACATGGCCAGTGTGACATAATTGGACAGTGCTGCTCTATGGGTTCAAGGAGAACACACAGAAGGCATCGTGTGCTTCATTTTGCCTAACATCAAGAGGCAAATTATTTCTGGTTAACCCATTTACAGTGATGCAAAGGTTGATCAATGTATTCAGGTGGTGACAGGCTGACCCCTCCACTGTAAATTCACGCTGAATTGATGAAGCTGATGCCTGATCAATTATTTTATAGAGGTTTCAGTAGTGCTTTTTTTTAAAAGGTTCACAATACGGCCCATGAGACACTATAGCTCACATTAAAAGAGTGAGGTCAATCTAAAGATATTGGTATGGAAAGATATCCAAAACAGGAAGTTAAATGGGAAAGAGCAAACTATAGAGTAGTATGTATCAATAAAGTGTGACTTGTGTAAAAAATAAACTAAGCAACCACACGTATACATGTATGAAGATACATGCAATTATGGAGAACTTTGGCTCTTTGCTTTATATACGTCAGTATAAAAAACTGACAGACTACTCACCAGGGCAGAATTTGACACTTCATCCCCAGTACACACCAGGATGCTGCCATCATTCTCTGGATTTTGGAAAATGGCACTTTTGGTCAGTAGTTTGCAAGTGGGTCCCCCACGGAATGTTTGTACAGAATGGCAGGAACAGATTGGCTCTCCAGCATTATCCAGCTTATAGGACATCTCCATGAGTACACTTCGTAAGGTGCTGTGACTTTTATCTATGAGACAGAGAAATCAGTATTGATCCATGGGGATGGTCCAAAGAAATGAACCAAGTACATGAACTTGGTTACCAGTTAGTTGAGTGGAAAGGGCACAATTTTGTCAAACCATCATGAATAGCTACAGAGCAAACATAACAAGAACAAAATAATACATCACAAATGAAATTCAGAACCCTAGGCTAGGATGAAGCAAGTTATCTACAATAGGTTTTTGTATATGAGGGATACAATTCTGAGAATGAGCTAGCCTTTTTAGAAAAATCACTGTAACCGGCCAGACCTCTGTTTGGGTTTTTGTCTTCCTTAAGGGTTCTGACTACAAGGTTTTTTCCTTCCCCCAGTCAGGACCCCATTAATCCCTCGAACTGTACATATAAAGTGAAAGCATATTATTACAGAATGGGAAACATATACAAGTGGTTCTGCTGGGAGGCAAACAAAAGCTAGAGAACAAAATGGGATCCCCAAGCTTTCTAAAGTCATAGCAAATCCTTGGAGATAGAGGACCTAGATGACTAAAACTAAAAGGGAAAGAAGAGTCTGCTGAAGCAGCTTCTCAGCTCAAACAAAACTTAAAATGCTTAGGTCAATCCACAACTACCAGAAGTATGGGCACTTTAATGACTATCTCTTACAAAACATCTGCCTGACCATCAATATAGCTCATCAGGAATTTAGGTTCATACCTTTCAGCTAGGAAAAACCTGTGAATTTTAGCATAGTTGCTAGTCGAGGGCTGCAGTCCTGGTTCTGGAGGCCATGAGAAGTTCAGCTGGCTAGGGCCACTACGGTTGTCCACCTACTCTTCACTTACGTTTGTTGGCCCCAAATAAGGAAGAACAGCTAATAGCCTAGTCTGGGCTCTCTACATGACTCCCCTTATCTGGGCCTTTCTTTTAAGTGAAATGAGGGGCAAGTAGAAAACATGAAACTGATCTAAGGGTAGCTCAGTGGCTTCAAGAGCAGGTCTCCTCATTCCACTACTGCCTTAAGTCACAGGGGCTCCTAAAGTGGCTAATTCACTTCCAAGGAGTACCTGGCCAAATATGTCCCAGTTCACACAAGTGAGGAAAAGGGAGGCAGGCTCTGTGGAAGAACTTGGGGCCACTGTCCTCACTGTGCTAGCAAGAGCTATTAGTCTGTGAGGGGCTTACCAGTACCGCCTGAAGGCTAGGACAAGCTCTCCTTTTCTCCCCTCTACCGATCTGCTCCCAAACAAACCACAGGTCCCACGAGGACATGCCAACGACACTCACCAGGCCTGTAGGTCACAAGACAGTGCCGGGTGCTGCTCTCTGTCTGAAAGTCTATGCAGCCCCCAGGCTCCATGGGCAGCACATGAGGCCAATGAGTAGAGCCCATTTTCAGCTCCCAAAAGGAAGCATTCTCCAAGCTTCCAGCCAACACCCCACCATATGGAAATGCAGCCGAGGTAGCTCTGGGTATGTATGACAGGGATACCAGCGGGCATCTGAAGGGAAAGAAAGGAAATCATGCCTCACCTTCCAATACCTGGATTGCTCCAGACCCCACTACCAGGAACCCTTGAGGACTTTCCTAACTCTATAGGAAAGGTTAAAAAACTTCTGAGGGTCACTATTGTACCAACCCACTCTGCAGAAACAAAAGAGTATACATGTAATATTCCACATTCAGTTTCAGAGGACACACCACATGCTCTAAAAGCAACGGGAAAAAAATGGACTAGGAAATTTAAAAGTACAAGATACAAACACAAGATCTGATTGGTGTGAAGCTTCTGGAAATGGGGTTAGCGACGTATACAAGAAAAGTCAGGAATAAAATTCAGCTTATACATCTAATAAACTAAAGCTTCCAAGCTGTAGTTGACAGACCCCCTCAATTAAAATCCAGCCTAGGGAATTCCCTGGCGGTCCAGTAGTTAGCAATCTGTGCCCTTTCACTGCTGTGGGCCCAGGTTCGACCACTGGTCAGGGAACTAAGAACCTACAAGCTGTGTGGCACGGCCAAAAAACAAACAAACAAAACAGCCTAAAGCAACTACATTTTAATTCAGAAACAGGATTGTTTCTTTAGAGATTTTCTAAATGTATTTCTGCAATCATATGACCCAGACTGCATGCCAAGAGTTCTCTCAGAAATATTAGCCTACAGACTATATTCCTATGATCTCGTTTCTGCTGGCTGCCAAAGTGATCACATTACCTGCTTTGTTTCATTTCCTTGTCATAATGAAGCTAACCTAAGCAAACTAAAACAAAAATGAATACATATTCTTCCCTTGCTATTTGCTGTACTTTATTGTCTACTCTACGTGTACCCTTTACATCGATGGCAGTCACCTTGTTTGCCTGGAGTTCGTATTTGTATAAACTTACATCAGTCACCTTCATTCAGGCCCATGAACCACATCACTGAAGAACGATTCCACTCAACCCAAATGAAAAGAAAACCCCACAGTGTTGAGGCTATAGGTTTCAGTAAACGATTATTACTATAGAGATATCTTCATGTTGAGATTGCTCTACCCCCCTTTTAGTTCACTCTGAAGAGCCAAAGTGATGCTGGTGGCTACCCATCTTCAGAACCTGGGCCAACTTCACAAACCTCCCAACTCTATAAATGGATTATAAATGGATAAATCACAGTAATATGGTATTCTTAGACCAAGTTGGTTCAGCTGTGGATTAGGGAAGTTTTAAATCACTTTTTATTGGGCTGTTCTTTACTGATCTCTTCCTGTGTGTTAGACATGTGTCTATTAAAGCGAGACTGTGCTAACCATATTTCACAGATGAAGCTCATAACAGGCCAAGAAATGTGACCAAGGTCACACAGCTCATAAATGGTGGAGCTGGGTTCTGAACACAGATCTGATTTCATTTTGGCATGTTGGGTGAATCTGGTTATATTTGGTACCAGAACTTTCTACCATATGAACTATCATGAACGCAAACTCTAAGGATCTTACTGATTCTGAAGTGAGAATAGATCAGTGGACTCAGAGAACTGCCCTCTGTTAGGAATTCTGATCAACTGTGAAACACTCTCAAAAGACAGGATTAATACAATAACAGTCTAAGAGAAAGCTGTTACCTACAGGTGGCTCCCTACCTAGCTTTCTGAGGTACTAACTCCTGGATATGAGAGCTTGTGTTTCGAAGGTCATACAACAGAATTGAACCGTTGACCAATCCAGCATACATGTAATTGTTTTCATCAAGACACCAGCAGCAGCTCCAGACAGGACGTCCAGTATTATAAGTCTGGACCACAGTATTTGTCTCCAGGCTGTGGAGTTAAAAAAGACTTTTACAACTATGCATTACAAAAATCAAATACAGAAGAAAGATGTAAAGATTATCATTTTAGTGATGATCCTTTAAGAACATAACCACACACCAAAACTATCTGGATTCCCAATTTCCCCTAGGGACTGCCCAGATAACTCCTTTTAATGCCAAAATATTTGTTTTGGGGGACACAGGTTTTCCTCCTGAGCTGTAAGGAAGTAAAAGAATAAGTTAAAGGGACAGATAGACAGTACATTCCCTACTCTACCCTTATTACCTTCTCCATAGCTACCTATTACACAGGTAATCAATATTTAATATTGAAAAATTAGAAAATACATATAAGAAAAATAAAAATAAATTATAATCCAATCATCCAGAGGTAGTCATTAATAACACTTTGCTATTTAACCTTGCTTTCTCCCCCTATTTTTCAACACTATTAAAATAAGTCATAGCACATAGATACATATAAAACATAATGGTACATTGATTTTGGGGGTAAAATTAAGCTGAAGCATTCTTGAAAAGTCAAAAGGTATATCAGGCCTGGAGCAGGCATCATGACGTCCCTCAGATTTAGCTGCAGAAATTAAATAAGAAGCCAACTAAGAGACATCTAATCAGAACTACTTTTTTTTTTTAAACTAATTTTCATTGGAGTATAGTTGCTTTACAATCTTGTGTTAGTTTCTACTGTACAGCAAAAGGAATCAGCTATAGGTATACACAGATACCTTCTTTTTTGGATTTCCTTCCCATTTAGGTCACCAGAGAGCACCGAGTAGAGCTCCTTGTGCTACAGAGTAGGTTCTCATTAGTTACCTATTTTATACATAATAGCAATAGTGTATATATGTCAATCCTAATCTCCCAATTCCTCCCACCCCCTTCTTTTCCCCCTTGGCATCCATACATTTGTTCTCTATGTCTGTGTCTCTATTCCTGCTTTGCAAATAAGATCATCTATACCATTTTTCTAGATTCCACATATATGCGTTAATATATTTGTTGTTCTCTTTCTGACTTACTTCACTATGCATGACAGTCTCTAGGTCCATCTGTGTCTCTACAAATGACCCAATTTCGTTTCTTTTTGTGGCTGAGTAATATTCCATTGTATATACGTACCACATCTTCTTTATCCATTCCTCTGCTGATGGACATTTAGGTTGCTTCCGTGTCCTGGCTACTGTAAATAGAGCTGCAATGAACACTGGAGTGCATGTGTCTTTCTTTTTTTAAAAATTAATTAATTAATTAATTTATTGGCTGCATTGGGTCTTCGCTGCTGTGCGCGGGCTTTCTCTAGTTGCACTGAGCGGTGGCTACTCTTTGTTGCGGTGCACTGGCTTCTCATTGCAGTGGCTTCTCTTGTTGTGGAGCATAGGCTCTAGGCGTGTGGGCTTCAGTAGTTGTGGCACATGGGCTCAGTAGTTGTGGCTCACGGCCTCTAGAGCGCAGGCTCAGTAGTTGTGCAACATGGGCTTAGTTGCTCCGTGGCATGTGGGCTCGAACCCGTGTCCCCTGCATTGGCAAGCGGATTCTTAACCACTGCGCCACCAGGGAAGTCCACAGCATGTGTCTTTTTGAATTATGGTTTCCTCTGCGTGTATGCCCAGTAGTGGGATTGCTGGGTTGTATGGTAGTTCTATGTTTAGTGTTTTAAGGAACCTCCATACTTTTCTCCATAGTGTCTGTATCAATCTACATTCCCACCAACAGTGTAGGAGGGTTTCCTTTTCTCCACACCCTCTCCAGCATTTACTGTTTGTAGATTTTTTGATGATGGCCATTCTGACCAGTGTGAGGTGATACCTCATTATAGTTTTGATTCGCATTTCTCTAATAATTAGTGATGTTGAGCATCTTTTCATGATTGGCCATCTATCTGTATGTCTTCTTTGGAGAAATGTCTACTTAGGTCTTCCGCTCATTTTTTGACTGGGTTATTTTTTTGATATTGAGCTGCAATGAGCTGTGTATTTTGGAGATTAATCCTTTGTCAGCTGCTTCATTTGCAAATATTTTCTCCCATTCCGAGGGTTGTCTTTTTGTCTTGTTTATAGTTTCCTTTGCTGTGCAAAAGCTTTTAAGTTTAATTAGGTCCCTTTTGTTTGTTTTTATTCTCATCACTTTAGGCGGTGGGTCAAAAAAGATCTTGCGGGCTTCTCTGGTGGTGCAGTAGTTGAGAGACCGCCTGCCGACGCAGGGGACACGGGTTCGTGCCCTGGTCCGGGAAGATCCCACATGCCGCGGAGCGGCTAGGCCCGTGAGCCATGGCCGCTGAGCCTGCACGTCTGGAGCCTGCACTCCACAACGGTAGAGGCCACAACAGCGAGAGGCCGCATACCCCCAAAAAAAAAAAAAAAAAAAAAAAAAAAAAGATCTTGCTGTGATTTATGTCAAAGAGTGTTCTGCCTATGTTTTTGCTTTTTTAAAAAAAAATGTTTATTTATTTACTTATTTCTTTTTGGCTGCATTGGGGTTTGTTGCTGCACATGGGCTTTCTTTAGTTGCGGTGAGCAGGGGCTACTCTTTGTTGCGGTGTGCAGGCTTCTCATTGCGGTGGCTTTTCTTGTTGTGGAGCACAGGCTCTAGGTGTGCTGGCTCAGTAGTCGTGGCACGCAGGCTCAGTAGACGTGGCTTGCGGGCTCTAGAGCGCAGCCTCATTAGTTGTGGCACACCGGCTTAGTTGCTCCATGGCATGTGGGATCTTCCTGGACTACGGCTCGAACCCATATCCCCTGCACTGGCAGGTAGATTCTTATGCACCCCCAGGGTAGTCCTCTGCCTATGTTTTCCTCTAAGAGTTTTAAAGTGTCTAGCCTTAAATTTAAGTCTTTAATCAATTTTGAGTTTATTTTTGTGTATGGTGTTAGGGAGTGTTCTAATTTCATTCTTTTACATGTAGCTGTCCAGTTTTCCCAGCAACACTTATTGAAGAGGCTGTCTTTTCTCCATTGTATATTCTTGCCTCCTTTGTCATAGATTAGGTGGCCATAGGTGCGTGGGTTAGAACTACTTACTAAAAAATAAAGGCATGAGATAAAGGCATGGAGCACACTCAGATCTGGTTCAGGGTACTTGCAGAGCATGTGAAAGATAAAATGTAGTAACTGACTACTGATAAAATGTAGTTACTGATGAGAGCAGTCATCATGGCACCCAGGACAATGAGTTCCTGGTATTGATGTATGTTAGGCATAACGATCCGGGAACAGACAAGGAATAAGCAGTCCCAAGCTAGTATGGTGACTCCACGGTGTCAGTACCAAGGCTCCCTCCATATTGTCATTCTACCAACTCTAGGGTGTTTACTCTCATCTGCATGATTTAAGATATATTTTGTAACATATATAATTTTAAAGAGATGGAACACCACACGTTCTGTTTTGTCACCAGCTGTGTCCACTTTTTAAAGCAATACATTTTAAATTCAATGAAGCTGGATCTGAGAAGACAATGCCTTAGACATCTCCCATCCCACCCCCACAAAAGCCAAGGTCATCATAACACAGATAACTAATTTCCACACTATTCAACCCTAGGCAACCCAGGGCCCATCTTCCCCACAAAGCACTCACCTGGTCAGTTTAATAGTGTTGTCTAGGGAAGCAGAGAGAAGTAAGCCTTTGGATCGACTGCTGAAAGCCAGTCCACGTATCTGTTTGCCATGCATGGGAATATACTGACTGCTTTTCATGTTGGCAGTACTCAACATCTTAACACCAAAGCCTGCCAAAGATACGAGAGAGTGAAACAGATCACTGAAAGTCAATTTAGGGCAAAGCAAACTACCATTTCAAGTAGGTCCTTTCTTCACCTTTTTTGGCATGTCTCTGGGAAAAAGCTAGTCGAACAAAGAAAATAAAAATTCCCCGGGGTTCTAATTTATTTTAAAAAATACATTCCATCCCAAATATCTATCAATAAGTGAATGATAAACCACTGTATATACACACAATGGACTACTACCCAACAATAAAAAGAAATGAACTACTGATAGACACAATAATATGGATAATCTTTAAAAAGTTACGTTGAAAAAAGCCAGACAAAAAAAGAGTAACACTTTATGGTTCCATTTATGTACAATTCTAGAAAATATAAACTGATCTATCATGACAGAATGTGGTTGCCTGGGGATAGGGAGAGGAGCGGGGGACAGGTGGATGGATTACAAAAGGGCTTGAGCAAACTTTCAGGGTGATAGATATGTTCATTATCTTGACTGTGCCGATGGTTTGAGGAGTGTATACATATATCAACACTCACCAAATGGTACACCACGTTAACTATGTGCAGTTTATTGCACATCAATTATACTTTAATAATAAAGCTGTTGCGGGAGAGAGAGAAAGACACTATTCCACCTGAACCACAGATACTCAAGATGTAGAACAGATAGTGAACAATAAAGAATGGAGATAAGTAATTTCTGTGTCAGGTGGTCAAGATATGTTACATTTTTCTGAAACAGAATAAAAACAGATGACATCAAGTATGCTAATCAATGTATATCATTCCAAGAGAGGAAAAGAAAGCCAAAAACTTGTCCTTTTAAACTTATTTGTTACTCTGCTCTCTTACCAGGTTATGATAATACATTTATTTTTATCAAGTATCTATTTTACCTGAGTTATACACAAACAAAATTTGTCAAATCCTAGATTCAAGATCACACTTCTGCTTCACTAGGGGAAAAAGTGAGAGAAAGTTCACTGTGTTTTCTCCTGAAACAGAATTAGGAGAGCCAGAGAAACAAACACAGAAATTACAGGCTTTAAATCAACAAGGGAACATGAGTATTTGCCTAGTTAATCATTAAAGGAAACAAGAGGAAATTAGCATCATCAGTCTATCAGGAAGAGCTAGCTGTGCAGTATGGAATAGACACATTAAGAAATAAAGGAACAGGGCTTCCCTGGTGGCGCAGTGCTTGAGAGTCCGCCTGCCGATGCAGGAGACGCGGGTTCGTGCCCCGTTTCGGGAAGATCCCACATGCCACGGAGCGGCTGGGCCCGTGAGCCATGGCCACTGAGCCTGCGCGTCCGGAGCCTGTGCTCCGCAAATGGGAGAGGCCACAACAGTGAGAGGCCCGCATAATGCAAGGAAAAAAAAAAGAAATAAAGGAACAGATCACACCCAATTTGGGGAAACAACTGGAAGAAATATGTATTTTTCCAGTTAATGGGGAAGGTCTTATATGATGATAAATCTTTTTATTAAAATCTTGAATGGGATATAGGAACATTATAAACAATCCTTTTACTTTCCCCTCAACTGGAGCCTCCTGATAGCCTCTCAACTGATAGGTAATATCAGTGAATAGAGAAATATAAGATAATCTAGGGATTCCACCACCAATCCTATATACACCTAAGTGTGGGGGACATAGTTTTGAAGCATTTGAATTTAACTTCTAAGCCGGGGGACAGGAAATCAGGCTGAAGCAAAGGGACCTGACAGTTGACAGAAATCATATGCTGAAGACAGCAGGAAAAACATCTACAACACTGGGCATGTGAGATTTGGTTTTCAACATTAAGACAACCTAAAATTAAGCTTGAAAAGCACACAAAAAAGAGAAAAGCAGTATAATATTAATAAAATAATAATGTTCCCAAATTCTTTTATTTGGAATTTGTCAGTTTGAACACTACTGAAAATAAGCATTAAATCTTGTTATAACTTGAATTAGAGCTTGGGGTAGTGTTTTTTCAAATATTTCTAGTCTAAAATGAACCTGTACTTTAGTGGGACATACAGGAATGATGTTCTTATCCTTGGACAACCCACACTTCTAAGTACATCTTCTCTCACTTTACCATGGTTCAGTATCTCTACCCTTTTGGTGAACAAATTTACAGAATGATGTCAACAGACAGTACAGACAGCTTTACAGTACCCTAAAGTATCTGTATTAACAGGAAAGTGACTAGGAAAAAGTGATTTGGTGGGCTGTGGACAGTGTTCACCTATTAGTGAGTCCTGGATTCTTCAAGAAGGGAGGAGAGAAATAGAGTCCAAAAATGAACATAAAAACAGGTTCTGGGGACTTCCCTGGTGGTGCAGTGGTTAAGAATCCGCCTGCCAATGCAGGCAACACAGGTTTGAACCCTGGTCCGTGAAGATCCCACATGCCGCGAAGCAACTAAGCCTGTGTGCCACAACTACTGAGCCTGCACTCTAGAGCCCACAAGATGCAACTACTGAAGCCTGCGTGCCTAGAGCCTGTGCTCTGCAGCAAGAGAAGCCACTGCATCTCTTAAGCCCATGCACCACGATGAAGAGTAACCCCCATTCGCCGCAACTAGAGAAAGCCCACGTGCAGCAACGAAGACCCAACGAAGCCAAAAAATAAATAAATAAATGCTCCTTAAACAAAACAAAACAAACAAACAAACAAAAAAACACCTGAGGTTCTGGACTATTCACCTGGAAGGAAGGAGGCCTGAGGAGAAGGCTGTGATACTACCAGGCAGCTCAGAGCATCATAGTATGTCATGACTCGGCAGTTTCCTGTTTGAGACACTGTGAATGTCTTCTGGAAATGGTACTTGTGTTGGCTCTGGCTGGAGGACAGGCTGCTTAGGAAACCTGCTTGGGAACTCCCGGTCAGCTGTGAAATCTGACCCTGATGCTGCACAATAAGTTTTTTCAAGTCCTAAAACGAAAAAGATTTTGTAAATGTGAAGCTTTTCCGTTTGGTATTCCCCTCATACACAATTCCTTGATCTAATATAAGGATATTTCTTATCCTTTAGAAGAAAATGTTAACGTGGATCCTAAAGAACTGCTGCAGTTTTCACAATATTTCAACAAGCAACTGAAATAGGGAGAACACGGAATCATAAAGCACTGAAAGTCCTTAATGGTCATTTTGTCTGAAATTCTCATTTAATTGGAAGATTCAAGGAAGTGAAATGACTTAAACAAGTTTTGATTATCAGGTGGCTGTTCAATTTTTAAAAAATTCACACTGCAGTAGAATTCATCATAAAGCATGTATATAAGCCCTAATCAGAAATAAAGAGTTGATCATGTTTACTTCCTGAAAAACCTGGTAAATCCTATTCGTATCTGAGATGAAACTAAATAATATTTAGATGCCTTCTTAATTCCTACTCCAAAAGTTCTTTGGATTAGAGAAGGCAAACTTACCTGAACATGACTGTGAAGCTTAGTGCATTCCTCAGTGAGGACTTGAAGCTGGAGCCGGCACTGTGCCGATTCTAACTCAGCCTTCTTCCTTAGCATCTGCTCCTCTTCTAAGGAACTAGAGGGGGAAAGCCAGCAACAGGTGGAGATTAGAAAGGCTACAGAAGACTTCTCCTCAAGATGACATAGTAAATTCATGCTATGATATACACTTTGCTGTAAATGTCACGATAGTGAATAAAATATAACAAGTGAAAAATCTCTCAAGCCCAGAAACACTACAGGAAAGTAGCATGCAGGACTGAACTCATGAGCCTACTGGGGTGGGTCTCAGTGTTGAAGTAGGCAGTGATGACCAGGACTCTGGCTATTACTAGGGAATGGGGACCTAAAATGCAAAATGAGGGATTACAGCCAAGCTCACTGCTTGAGTTAGAGCCAAATTATAAAAGAGTAAAAATGACCTGTTAAAAGACCAAGGTTATCTACTGGATAAAAAGAAAATAAGGTACCAGTTATTCATCAGATATTCAAATTAAAGAACACTATAAAAAGAGGCTGGACTTCCCCGGTGGCACAGTGGTTAGGAATCTGTCTGCCAGTGCAGGGGACGTGGGTTCGAGCCCTGGTCTGGGAAGATCCCACATGCCACGGAGCAACGAAGGCCACGTGCCACAACTACTGAGCCTGCGCTCTAGAGCCCGCATGCCACAACTACTGAAGCCCACGTGCCTGGAGCCCGTGCTCCACAACAAGAGAAGCCACTGCAGTGAGAAGCCCACACACCACAACAAAGAGTAGCCCCCACTAGAGAAAGCCCGCGTGCAGCAATGAAGACCCAATGCAGCCCAAAATAAATAAATAAATAAATTTTTAAAAGAGGCTTAAGTTAAAAAGATAGAAAGTATACACTAGGCGAATGTTAAAAAAAGACTGATTAGAATTAAAAAGGATGAATAGGCATAAAGAGGAACAATGTGTAATGAAAGGACATATTCACCAGGAATAAAAATCATAAATCTGAATGTTTCAAAATATGAAATACAAAAATAGAGATTTCCATTCCAATGAGATAGAGAAAAAAAGATGAAAATTAGAAAGGAAGGGATAAAGTGGCTCTTATAATTCGAGAGAACCCACAAACTATTAGAGTTCAGCAAGGCTGCTGTAGTCAAGATCAAGAAAATTAGATCAACAGCATTCCCCATATACCAGATAAATGACTAGTAAATATAACAGAAAAAAATTCATTCGAAATAGCATTCTAACAACAGCAACCTAGGAATAAAGTTAAGGCCTTTAAGAAGCAAAATATAGTTATAAAAGACACAAAGGAAACAGGGAATAAGTGAAAGGATATTATATAATGTTCAGAGCTGGAAAGACTAAATTGAAGTACTGGTGCAAGAATTAACAAACAGACCCCGGAACAAGAGTAGTCCATTCATAATGTAGAAACTTAATTTAGGATAGAGGTAGCAATGGAAATTTATATAGAAAGAATATTTCTATATAAATTTTTATTTATTAACTTAAAATTATTTATTATTTTAAATGATTAATTTTAACAATTAATACAATTGTGCTCATCCATAAAACTAGATTTTAGGTAGACTAAAAACTAGTGTAAAAACTAAAACTTTTAAAGACATTTAAAAGGGGCTTCCCTGGTGGCACAGTGGTTAAGAATCCGCCTGCCAGTGCAAGGGACACGGGTTTAAGCCCTGGTCCAGGAAGATCCCACATGCCACAGAGCAACTAAGCCCATGCGCCACAACTACTGAGCCCGTTCACCTAGAGCCCGGGCTCCGCAACAAGAGAAGGCGCCACAATGAGAAGCCTGCGCACTGGAACGAAGAGTAGCCCTCGCGTGCCACAACTACAGAAAGCCCACACGCAGCAACAAAGACCCAATGCAGCCAAAAGAAAAAATATATTAAAAAAAAAAAAAGACATTTAAAAGAAGATATTATGTCTCCATGATTGTAATGTAGTAGGGACAAAAACACACAAAACGAGAGACTGATAAATGACTACACTAAAATTAAAAACTTGTGTCCAACAAAAGATACAATAGACAAGTTAAAGAGACAAACCATAAACTAGAAGATGACATTTGCAACGTATACAACCAACAAAGAGTTGGTATAAGGAAAACAAAGAACTATAAATCAGTAAGAAACAATATATTTTGTTCAATATAAATGAGCAAAATATTTGAGCACAATGTATAGAAAAGTAGGTTCAACCGCAATTGAGGAAAAGCAAATTAAATACTACTTCACTCCATGAAACTGGCAAAAATTAAGTCTGATAAGATAAAGTAGGTGAGGGTACGAAAAAAAATGAGAAATCTCTTACACTGCTGCTGGTATATACTGGAATAGCCTCTTGTAAGAGCAATTTGACAATATATAGTAAAGTTGAAATTACATGTACCCTATGATAAAGCAAATCCACTTCTAGACCTAAAGAAACTCACCTATCTCTCTGCAGCATGGCTTATATTAACAAAAACTGGAAACCACCTCACTGTCCACCAATACGAAATACATATAAGTAAACTAATTAGAGAAATAGAATATTATATAGAAATTAAAATGAATCAACTAGAGCTACATATATCAACTAGGATATGTGCCTCAGAGTATTAAGCAAAAATCAAGTCTTATTAAGTACATCTCTGCACATATCCTTAATCATTTCTTTAGAAAAAATGACTGAAGCAGAATTACTTTTAGACTTCTGAAGCATATTGCCAAAGGCCTCTCTAAATGTTTGTGCCCGTGTACATTTTTACCAGTAATACATCAGCGAACCCACATCCCTGTAGTCTCTCAGTGCAGGTTCTTTTTATTTTTCTTGGCTGTGCTGCGAGGTTTGTGGGATCTTAGTTCCCTGACCAGGAATCGAACCTGTGCCCCTTGCAGTGGAAGCATGCAGTGTAACCACAGGACCGCTAGGGAAGTCCAGTGCAGGTATTTTTTTGCTTGTTTGTTTGTTTTTTGGTTTTTTTTGCGGTACGCGGGCCTCTCACTGCTGTGGCCTCTCCTGTTGCGGAGCCCAGGCTCAGCAGCCATGGCTCACGGGCCCGGCCGCTCCGCGGCATGTGGGATCTTCGCAGACCGGGGCACGAACACGCGTCCCCTGCATCGGCAGGCGGACTCCCAACCACTGCGCCACCAGGGAAGCCCAGTGCAGGTATTTTTAATCTTTAATGTTCTTAGAGCATATTTTATAAGTAGTGTTACTAGCATTTGCTCATGGGCTTCCAAAATCTTGATAATTTCTTGCATTGTACGACAAGTGCAAAGCTTCAGTTCTGAGACTTCTTTGCAGAATACTGTTGCAGGAGGGCTTAGGGACACAAGAAAAAAAATCCTCAGTTTTTAAAACGTATCATTAAGTCTATTCTAGTGACAAGGAGATTGAGACTTGGGAGTGTGCTCTAGATGGCCATGAATTGGCTACAAAGAGTAAGACAGAGGATTCCCTGATTCAGTGTTCACAGTATTTAGCAGCAGAGGCAGGCAGTAAATGTAATCCCTAGAGAAGAATCCGGACAGGCTACAAAAAATCCAGGCTATCTTTCTGATTGGGTCTGCTTCCCAGCCTAGGTGTGAGGTATTACTGTATGGCTAAAGGTTTCTCTATGACTTTTTTTTTTTTTAAATTCATTATTTATTTATTTTTGGTTGCATTGGGTCGGTTGCTGTGCACGGGCTTTCTCTAGCTGCGGTGAGCAGGGGCTACTCTTCGTTGCGGCGCGTGGGCCTCTCATTGCGGTGGCTTCTCCTGTTGCAGAGCACGGGCTTTAGGCACGCGGGCTTCAGTAGTTGTGGCTCACGGGCTCTAGAACGCAGGCTCAGTAGTTGTGGCTCATGGGCCCAGTTGCTCCATGGCATGTGGTATCTTCCCGGACCAGGGCTCAAACCCGTGTCCCCTGCACTAGCAGGCGGGTTCCTAACCACTGTGCCACCAGGGAAGCCCCAGATCATCATTTTTAATGCTATATGAGAGCAAACCATGCTTCAAATGATCAGACATGTATCATAAATCACAGTGTTAGACAGAATGCCAATGATCCCCAGAGATCCCCAGTCACAGCCCAAGGAAAGCCTCAGAACCACACTAAGAGTGGCTCATACCTTTTTCAGAGGTGCATACAAAGAACCAAAAGGGAATATTCCAGCTAGGCAGACTCTTGCCACCTACCTTTTTGTGAGCTCCTGTTCACTAGTGTCCAAAGCTCTCAGGGTTCGGGCATAAAGGACAACGATGTCACTGTGCTTGGCTTTTTTGTTGCACTAAAGAGCCAAATGGGACACAATAAGTGTGGTTCTAGGAATCCTCCTGACTTAACATGTTGACTGTGCACATGCCCAGTTCTTAACTATGGTCTTTACCTGAGGACATTTTCGTGCCTGTCCTTTGAGCCACTTAGAAATGCACTTATACCCAAAGAGGTGCCCACAGCGCAATGCCGAGAGCCGGTGATCCCCAGTATTGGTCCACTGTTCCAAACATATTGTGCAAGTGTCCACTTCTTCCTCGTCCACAGAAGCAGAAGCTAGAAGAGGATTAGACTTCTGGGGAGACTGCTAGATGGAAACCAGAATACATTCAAATTAGAGAAAATGCAAAATCACTCTTGAAGATGTGAAACTCTATCAAATTAACAAAAAAATCACACAAAAATGATACAAACACAATTGAAAATGCCAAAGAAAAACCCCAACACCCATGAATCACTTCCCATTCTTTCCAGAATGCAATCTGGTCAAAGGTAATATAAGCCATGAAAATATCATTACCCTTTGAGCTTATAAAATTCTTGATTTTCTTTCATTCAAATGACAAAAAGGAGCTATATTTACGAAGATATTAAAACAAAACAAACCTAGAAGTGACCCAGTTAAATAACAACAGGGAATATTAAGTTTGTTATACATTCGAAATTAGGTCCATAATCAATTCAAGTAGCTATAAAATACCTGGCTCATGTGAATAAAGAAAAAAAAAAAAAACAGGAAAAAAAGAAAGGATATAAACAACTCACACAAAAATACAAATGATCGGTAAGTGTTCACTTATAATTAAAGAAATGAAAGTTCAAGTAAGAGACCACATTTTTACTTTTTCATCTATTAGATGGCATAAATTGATGTCTGATGACACCAAGCACTGAGGGTGAGGGAGAAATGGGCATGCTTACATACTGCTGCTGCAAGTAAAACTGGCACAAATTTTCCTGAGGGCAACTTGGCATTATCTATCAAAACTAAAAATACATACATCTTTCCTTTGATATAGCAATCTTTCTGCTAGAAATATATCCCATGAATATAATCACAAATATCTGCCAAGACAATAGTACAAAGATGCTCAGTGCAGCATGATCTTATTAGGAAGCAACAGCAACAACAAAGAAATAAAGAAAAAGGGAACAACCATACTGTACATGGCAAGGTAATAGTTAACTAAAAATGTATTCCTATGTAAAAACACTGTACAGCTATTACTACCAATAAGAATGAGATTCAATTTTATGTACTGACACTAAAAGGCTCTCCAAAATGCAGTAAGTTGGGGGAAAAGGAACCAGTCCCAGAACAGGATATTATATAATCCCTCTTGTGTGAATTTTAAAATAGAACATTTAAATGAATTCAGTAAAGTTGAAGGGTACAAAATTCATCTACAGAAATCTGTTGCATTTCTACACACTAAAAATGAACTATCAGAAAGAGAAATTAAGAAAACAATCCCATATGTGAACTACATCAAAAAGAACAAGATACCTAGAAATAAATCTAACTGAAGAGGTAAAAGACCTGTACTCTGAAAACTATAAGACACTGATGAAAGAAATTGAAGACAACACAAACAAATGGAAAGATATACTATGCTCATGGATTGGAAGAATTAACACTGTTAAAATAATCATACCCCCGCCAGGCAATCTATAGATTCAAAGCAATCCCTGTCAAAATATGAATAACATTTTTCACAGAACTAGAATAAACAATTCTAAAATTTGTATGGAAACACAAAACTCCAAATAGCCAAAGCAATCGCAAGAAAGAAGAACAAAGTTGGAAACATTACACTCCCTGATTTCAAACTATACTACAAAACTACAGTAATCAAAACAGTATGGTACTATCACATAAGCGGACATATAGATCAATGGAACAGAACAGAGAGCCCAGAAATAAAGCCACACTTATATGGGCAATTAATTTACGACAAAAGAGGCAAGAATACACAATGGGGAAAAGACAGCCTCTTCAATAAATGGTGTTGGGAAATCTGGACAGCTACATGCAAAAAAATCAAACTGGACTACTTTCTCACATCATATACAAAAGTAACCTGAAAATGGACTGAAGATTTAAATATAAGACCTGAAACCATAAACCTTCTAGAAGAAAACATAGGCAGTAGGCTCTCTGACATCGGTCCTAGCAGTACTTTTTTTTGAATATGTCTCCTCAGGCAAGGGAAGCAAGCAAAAATAAACAAACAGGACTACATCAAACTAAAGCTTTTGCACAGCAAAGGAAACTATCAACAAAATGAACAGGCAGCCTACCGAATTGGAGAAGATATTAACAAAAGATATATCTGATAATATCCAAAATAAACAAAGAGCTCATACAACTCAACAGCAAAAAAACAACCTGATTAAAAATGGGAAAAAGGGGCTTCCCTGATGGCGCAGTGGTTGAGAGTCCACCTGCCGATGCAGGGGACACGGGTTCATGCGCCAGTCTGGGAAGATCCAACATGCCGCAGAGCAGCTGGGCCCATGAGCCATGGCCACTGGGCCTGCGCGTCCGGAGCCTGTGCTCCGCATATGTTGTGGAGAGGCCACAACAGTGAGAGGCCCGCATACCGCAAAAAAAAAAAAAAAAAAAGGCAAAAGACATGAACAGACATTTCCCCAAAGAAACAGCCAACAGACACATAAAAAGAAAAGATGCTCAGCATCACTAATTATCAGGGAAATGCAAATTAAAACCACAAAGAGATACCACCTTATACCTGTCAGAATGGCTATCATCAAAAAGACAACAAATAACAAGCATTGGCGAGGATGTGGAGAAAAGGGAACACTCATGCACTGTTGGTGGGAATGTAAATTGGTGCACCCACTATAGGAAACAGTATGGAGTGTGGACAAATAGCATATAATCTCACTTACATGTGGAATCTGAAAAATAAAACAAAACAAAAAAACCCAGACTAAGAGACACAGAGAACAAATGGGTGAGTGCCAGAGGGAAGGGGAGTGGGGTATGGCAAAATAGGTGAAGGGGATTAAGAGGTACTAACCTCCAGTTATAAAATAATAAACCATGGGGATGTAATACATAGCATGAAAAATGTGGTCAACAATATTGTAATAACTTTGTATGGGGATAGATGGTTACTAAACTTATTGTGGTGATCATTTCATAATGTATGCAAATGTCAAGTCACTTTGCAGTACACTTGAAACTAACATAATACTGTACATCAACTGTATTTCAATAAATAAAGAAAAAACATTTATACACATAATTTATATGAGAGTAACTTTTCTAGAGAGAATAAATAAAAATAGAAACTTGCAAAAAGTGAATCAATGATGTTTTGGAACTGGCAGGGCCCACAGTTGGTATAAATAAGTCACATATTGAGGACAGTGATATCTGCAATTTTTAAAAATAAAAACTGTTTATCTCATAGCAATCTTTCTGCCAGACAGTTCATAAACTGCATTCATATCTACTACTTCAACTGATACTTAACCTTGTTAGGTGGACAGGACAAGTTCTCCTCACATCTTCCCCTACTCCATGTTTTTAAACCTAAGGGGAGGCAGTCACACAAATAATGAGTAACTTGTATAGGATCTACATCTGGACCCCCTGCCTACAAAGTCTGTGGGCCTTCCACTTTAATCTGCAGCTGCCTTTTTAAATGTAAATAGAAACCTCTCATTTAAAAGGATGTTCATATTACCTGTTTGGGGAGAGTCTCTCCTCCACCAATACATGTAACTTCTTGCTCCGTTGAGGTATCTCCGAGTTGCTCTGCCAAGTTGTTACCTCCTTGTTGCTCTGCCAAGTCGTTTCCAGAAATGATGGGATAGGTAATATATAAAAGAAGATATAAGTCAGGTATGAGGCTAGCAGGAGAGCCTGACTCACCACAGCTTTCCATTTCTAATTGATACTGTTGATGTAAAAGCAATGATAACTTCCCCAAGTAGCCTCAATGAATCCTTTTTTTTCCTGGCTGTGCAGCACGTGGGATCTTAGTTTCCTGACCAGGGACTGAACCCAAGCCTCCTGCAGTGGAAGCATGGAGTCCCCACCACTGGACCGCCAAGGAAGTCCCAATGAATTCATTTTTAAATGTAGACAGAATAGTAAACTAACCCACAAGTACCCATCACCCAATTTCAAAAATAATATTTTTCCAATCTTGTTCCAAATAAGCCCCCATTCCCATTATTTTCTTTCCTAATAACAAACCCTAAAATGTGGTTTCACTTGTAAAAACTTTTGTAGCACTCACTGATAAGGACTTTTTTTTTTTTACATAAACACTATACCTAACAAAATTAACAATACTATATCTAACAAAGTTAACAATAATCCTTCAATACCATCCCAGACACCCAGTTTGTACTCAAAATTTCCCAGTTGTTGTTTTGTGGCCACATAGTGAGGCATGCAGGATCTTCCCCAACCAGGGAACGAACCCATGCCCTGCGTAGAGTCTTAACCACTGGACCACCAGGGAAGTCCCTCCCAATTGCTTTAAAGTTGCTCTTTACAATAGATTTATTCCAGTCAGGATCCAAACAAGGTCTTCAAACAGTAAGCTTGGACTGTTATGTCTCTTAAGTCTTTTTCATTTATAACAATTCTCCTTCACTTATTTCTATCCTCTCCTTGTCACTGATTTGTTGAGGGAGATTTGGTCATTTGTCTTATGAAATGTCCTACATCCTAGATTTGGCTGATTGCTTCCTGTGGTATTCCTTACTTACTGCTTCACTGCCTGCCTTTCCTATAAACTGGTCAGTAGACCTAGATGTTTTTGTAGATTCAATTCTGCTTTTTGGAAAGAGGAAGGGCAGCAAGAAACTTAGGTTGTGTCCTTCTGATAGCAGTACACCAGGAGGCTTATACTGGGTTCAGGTGATGGCAGTCTGACCCCTAGACTATCTGGTTCCTCAACAACCTTTCACAGCTTCCATTAATGGTCAAGATAGTAATCTTAATTTTTAGTTATTTTTCTTTTTGAGGCTCAAATTGTTCCATCGTAGGCCAGAAAGAATCCCTTCAAATTGGCTCTTTAAAAAAAAAATCTTTTATTGAAATGTAATATGCATACAGAAAAGTGTACCATAAATATTTTTAGTGAATTTTCACAAACTGAACTATAAACCAGAACATCACCAACAACCCTAAGAGTGCCCCTTATACCCTTATGTCCTCCTTTTATCTTGGGTGACAGGCAAGGAGGTGACCTTGCCCCCCAGAAGTAACTACTTTACTAAATTTTAACACCATCGCCTGGTTTTGCCTGTTTTTGTATATAAATGGCATCTGAGTTACCCACTTTCTGCTACTTCTGTTTGACATTCTTTGCAAAATTTTTCCATACTAATGCGTGGAGTTGTAGTTCACTTTCACTTCTGTACAGGGTTTTACTGCGTAAATATATAACATTTATTTATCCATTCTACTGCTAATGGGTTTGTGGATAGTTTTCAGTTTTTTCCTATTACAAACAGTGTTATTACATTCTTGTACATGTCGTTCATGAACACATGTACTCACTTCCTTGGCTATATACCTAAAAGTGAAATTGTTGAGCCACTGGTTCTATATATATATATATATATATACATATATATATATATATATATATATATAGTGAGTTTATAACAATACTAGCAAAATATTTGTACCAATTTACATTTTGATGTAAAAGAGGACATCAAAATCATAAAATGTGGGGGAGGAGAGTAAGAAAATCTAGATTAAAAAAAAAAATTTCCTTAAATGTATTTGAGCCCATATGACTACCAGTCTAAGGCAAGCAGATATAGGAAAGGGTTACTACACTTGAAAAACAGGGTAACCACAGATTAAAAACATACACAAAAATCAAAAAGAAGAGAACATAAGTATAATACAAAAGATAATCAGGGGGAAGGGATAAATTGGGAGACTGGGATTGACAAATACACACTACTATATATAAAATAGATAACTAATAAGAACCTACTGCATAGCACAGGGAACTCTACTCAATACTCTGTAATGACCTATATGGGAACAGAATCTAAAAAAGAGTGGATATATGTATATGTATAACTGATTCACTTTGCTGTACAGCAGAAACACAACACTGTAAGTCAACTATACTCCAATAAAAACTAATAATAATAAGAAGAAGAATCAAACCACAAAAGGAAAAACAAAAAGAAAAAAAGGGAAAAAGAAGAAATATAAAATCAATGGGAAAACAAGGTTTAAAATGACAATAAATAAGTATCTATCAATAATTACCTTAAGGGGCTTCCCTGGTGGCGCAGTGGTTGAGAGTCCGCCTGCCGATGCAGGGGACATGAGTTCGTGCCCCGGTTTGGGAGGATCCCACATGCCGCGGAGCGGCTGGGCCCTGAGCGTCCGGAGCTCAGGCTGAGCCTGAGCGTCCGGAGCCTGTGCTCTGCAACGGGAGAGGCCACAACAGCGAGAGGCCCGTGTACCGCAAAAAATAAAATAAAAAACAGACCTTAAAAAAAAAAAAAAAAATTACCTTAAGGACTTCCCTGGTGGTGCAGTAGTTAAGAATCCGCCTGCCAACACAGGGGACATGGGTTTGATCCCTGGTCTAGGAAGATCCCACATGCCACAGAGCAACTAAGCCCATGTGCCACAACTACTGAGCCCATGTGCTGCAACTACTGAAGCCTGCGCGTCTAGAGCCCATGCTCCACAAGAGAAGCCACTGCAAGGAGAAGCCTGTGCACGGCAATGAAGAGTAGACCCCGCTTGCTGCAACTAGAGAAAGCTCATGCACAGCAATGAAGACCCAACACAGCCAAAAATATAATAATAATAATAATAATAATAAAGATAAATTTTTTTAATTTAAAAAATTGAGAAAATAATAAAGAAACGGTAACATTAAAAAATAAATAAATAGGGGGCTTCCCTGGTGGTGCAGTGGTTGAGGGTCCGCCTGCCGATGCAGGGGACACGGGTTCGTGCCCTGGTCCAGGAGGATCCCATGTGCCGCGGAGTGGCTGGGCCCATGAGCCATGGCCACTGGGCCTGCGTGTCAGAACCTGTGCTCTGCAACGGGAGAGGCCACAGCAGTGACAGGCCCATGTACCACAAAATAAATGAATAAATAAATAAATAAATCGTACATTTCTTAAAAAAAAAAATTACTTTAAATGTCAATGCACTAAATGCTCCAATCAAAAGACACAGAGTGGCAGACTGGATAAAAAAACAAAAGCCTACAATATGCTGCCTACAAGAGACCCACTTTAGGGCAAAGCACACATACAGACTGAAAGTGAGGGGATGGAAAAAGATGTATGATGCTAACGGAAATGATAAGAAAGTGGGGGTTGCAATACTCGTATCAGACAAAACAGACTTTAAGAAAAAGGCTATAAGGAAAGATACAGGACACTATATAATGATAAAAGGATCAATACAAGAAGAGGATTTTAACTCATCAACATATATGCACCTAATATAGAAGCATCAAAATACATAAAACACAATTAACAGACATAAAGGGAGAAACTGACAGGAATACAATAATAGTAGGAGACTTTAACACCCCACTCACATCAATGGACAGATCTTCTAGACTGAAAATCAATACAACAAACAGAGATCCTAAAAGATACAACAGAACTGTTAGACTTAATTGATATTTTTAGAAATTATCTCAAGTGTCTTTTGTGACCATGACAGCATGAAACTACAAATCAACCACAGAAAAAGAAATGAGAAAAAAACGATTACATGGAAACTAAACAACATGCTACTAAATAAAAAACCAATGGGTCAATGATGAAATCAAACAGGAAATTAAAAAATACCCTGAGACAAATGACAATGAAAACACAACCATACAAAATCTATGGGATGCAGCAAAAGCACTTTCTTACAAAGAAGTTCAAGCGATACATGCCTTCCTCAAAAAACAAGAACATGTTTTTTGTCATAAACATGTCTGTTTATAACAAACTCACAGACAGTACTCAATGGTGAAAAGCTGAAAGCCCTCCTGCTAAAATCTGGAACAAGACAAGGATGCCCACTCTCACCACTTCTATTCAACATAGTACTGGAAGTCCTAGCCACAGCAATCAGACAAGAAAAAGAAATAAAAGGTATCCAAATTGGAAGGGAAGAGGTAAAACTGTCATCATATGCACATGATACTATATATATAAAATCTTGACTCCACACAAAAACTACTAGAACTGATAAAGGAATTCAGCAAGGTAGCAGGATACAGATTAACATACAGAAATCAGTTGCATTTTACACTAACAGTGAAGTATCAGAAAGGGGGTGTAAAAACACAATACCTTTTTTTTTTTTCCATGCGACTGTATACTTTACTGATTTGCTTACATTTACCCTTTGGCCCTCTACAAGGATTAAGAGGCAATTCAGTGGGCCCTGGGGTGGGAATTCATTGGATTCCTTCCACAGAGGTGGCTGTGCTGCTGAAAAGCTGCCCACACACGCTCAGCCATGCCCAGCTCCTGCTCCATGCTCTGGCCCACAGCCAGCCCTCCCTGCCCACTGACTGGGCACATATTTGAGTTCCACACACTTTTATTAGAGGATGAGGGGTGGTTCTGCCAGCAGGCTCAGGTGAGGCTCACAGCTGGTGAGGCTCACAGCTGGGTCCTTCCCAGTGCAGTCCAATGGTTAAGACTCCGCACTTCCACTGCATGGGACGTGAGTTCAACCCCCAGTCGGGGAACTAAGATCCCACATGCTGTGCGGCCAAAAAGAAGAAAGAAAAAAATCAC